TAGTTTTGTCGGGCCGATGTCGAATTTAACATGCATTTGATCATTTACGAAGTAGTTTTAGTGCCTTCGTAACATGTTACGACACCGTCAGTGGTAGTTGACACTTGACACTCCCTATGGATAGCCGGCAGGACCGCAGGACACCTACTGGTTGACCTGACCTGACCTGACCTGGCCTAAATGAACGAAGACACATGTGATCAAAACAAACATGACATTCGTGATCAGCAACAGCCAAAAAATAATAACCTCGCTTTACGAACTTCAAATAACCCCTTATTTTCCCGACTTCTCGGTCATTGACCTGGCCTGGAAGGTTAACCAATGACCTAGGACCTTAAAGTTGGTTATCATCGGCTTCCTCGCGTCTCGGGCAACACGCTCGTTTTTTCCTCGAAGCTCTAGCTCCACCATGGGGGCCAAACGGCGATGGGATTCCAACGCCCCCCCCCCCCTATACGTTAGACGCTGGCAAAACACGAATACGGGCGAGGGCTAAAACACCAGTCAATTTCTTTATATTGTTTGTTCCATTTCATTTTGTCACTCATTCTCGGTTGGCAACTGCCAAGCAGGAAAACTAATCAGTTTCACGAGACCAGAATTCCCGCGCTGTTATAGCCATACAGAAACGACAGCTCTGTCATTTTCGAAACCACGAATAATAATAACATTTTTTTAATCTGTATGTATAAAGGTGTTCTATAGTGTTCCTTTGTAGCTTGTAGGGAGCCATCTTGAGACTTGACAGGGAGTTGTGCTGTGCCTTTTGCATGTTAGGTATGTCCACAGAAAAAAAAACTTTGGGGCCACTGATGCTAGTTGTCGGACCTTCGTCCCCGTCTTGAGTTGAGATGTTAGTTTCACAACGTTTCGGCCAGTTACTCTCCGGCCGTCGTCACTCGTCAGGTGTTCTTTGACTCTCAGAAGGACCTGGATGTTGGTGGCGTTGTGCCGTATGCGTCCAACCGTTCGAAAGCTCCTGTAGTCAGCGGGAATCGAACTCGGGTTTCCCCGGTGATGGTCCACGGTTCTAACCACTCCACTATCGAGGCAGATTTGACAATGGCCGGAGAAGTTACTTGCTGAAACGTTGTGAAACTAACATCTCAACTCAAGGCGGGGACGAAAGTCCGACAACTAACATCAATGATACTAACGGGCCTCGTCTCAAGCATTCAGAAAAAAAACTAAAGCTTTTGGGGGTTGATGGAATGATGTGGGGAGAGAAAAGGAGAAGAGTTGGTCTAATTGACTTTGTCTTACTTGCAGACCCATATTTCATGCTAATTTGCATGCCTACCAGCCTGGTATCAGCTTTTATCATGCATATCAACTCACCACTTGATGGCATATCAACTCACCACCTGTCACTTTTCTTAAAATTATAAAAAAGCGTTGTTATAGGTGAAACCCAAAACTACCTGGGATCAACAGTAAATTGATGGTAGTTTCTTTCCCAGTGCATGATGTTCCATGAATATCCACCGTTTTTGCTGTAGGGTGGGGACTTTTCCTTAGTTTCAAAATCAGAAGAAAAAAAGGACTTTGAAAAAAGTAATGTGTTAAGAAGGCACTGCACCACATGCATGCCTTTCTCAGCTATATGCATCACTTATTGGTTGCTTCACTACACAGAAAAATAAAACTAAAAATTGGTTTACAAATGGATGAGCAGCACACATTTTAACATTTTTCGAGCAATTTATATCAAATCACCACCCCATATCAACTCACCCCGGTTTACGGTAGCATAGAGACATCCCCCCTATCGGTGGCGGCCAGGATTTGGTCACTGACGGACAGAAGTGCTGTCTCAGTTGAGTGCCGGGGTCGGAAACCGTGCTGGGTATTGGCCAGAAGATAGTTTTGGGAGAGATAGCGATAGAGCTGTTTGTGAATGACTCGCTCGACCACCTTCATAATGACAGGTACTAAGGAGATAGGTCGAAAATTAGTGGGATCAGATGGGTTTCCAGACTTGAAGATGGGGTGAACTATAGAGTGTTTCCAATGAAAGGGGATATCGGACCTTGAGATGCAGGTGTTAATGATGTGAAGGATAACGTCACCTATAGATGGGAAAGCAGTTTTCAGCATGCGAATGCAGACGCCATCAGACGCACAGGCGGCAGAATTGCGCATATTGAAAACTGTGTGACCGAGTTCACCGAGAGAGATAGGTCTGGGCTTAAATCTACCGGTTACGACACGCGGCAAACGGCCAATTTGCTCAACAACTGGATTTTGGTCACGGATCTCTGTAGCGACGCGGGGACCCACAGAAACGAAAAAAGAATTTAAAACGTCAGCCGATACATCAGGTTGAACACTAGGTCCGTCTTTCTTACCAGCCACAACCGACCTAATACTTTTCCACACCTTGTTGGGACCCCGCCCACTTATCTCTCTGTGAAGTTCGCCGCGTCGGTCTCGTCGCATTGCGGCCCGGACAGTTCGGTTTAAGTCTTTGTAAACCTCCGACTTTCTACCGAACTGCTGTAACGCGGTACGACGTTGATCCATGATTTTAAGTGTGGCGGGGGTAACTGGTGGTGCAGTAGGATTACGGATGGTAATATTCTTTATAGGTGCGTGATCGTCAAAAATCGGCAGAAATTCGGTCAGGAAAGCATCTAATTGACCCCGCCGTGTTTTACGGCACCGAATTGAGACGGTCCTCGTCAAACAACGTCGGGCTGTTGCCGGCTGACGGCCAGGGTTGACCATGGAGCTGGTGTTGATGGTTTTGATGGCAATGATGGCTCCCGGTGTGACTGGCGCAGCGACTCTATCACTGGCCTGTAGCGTGGGCCCGCGGCGGTGGGCAGTGGGTAATTGCCCCGCGCTCCCGCCCGTCTGGCGGCGCCGGGTGGCCCGATTCACCGGCCCGGGCGCCGGGCCGTGACGCTCCCCTGCCGCCGCGGTGACGGTCGTCACAGGCCGTGACGCCAGAGCTGACCGGCCTGCTCCCCGGGGAAGGGAGTCCGTCACACCGGCGGGCGCACAAAGGGGCCGCCTGCCGCACCGGCCGTGGGGGCGCAGCACACGTGGTCAGCTACACGTGCAGTGGTCACAGACGGGCGGAGGACTGAGCTACCAACAAACTGCCGTGTGGTGACGTAGTGGAGCAACATGCAGCGGAATTAAGGCGTTATGCATTGAATGGCTCCTGACTTTCGATTTCCTTTTCGCAACTATTTGTCGGATTTTTAATGTCTGCATATCAAGAGAAAGAGTGGGTTTGGTGGGTTTCACGGTAAAAATCTGCACGCCACCGTTTGCCACAGTTTATCGGTCAGGTCCGGCAGCTGCCATGAATGTGTCACACGCCTGACGAAGTGTATAGCAAACAGAGCTACCGGGGCCCGTCAGCAGCTCTTTACAGATCAATGTGACTGCACCCTGATCGGTGGCATTCCATGATGTCTTACAGTGATGATAACCTACCACAAGCCTTGGTGGCTTACCGGTGGTGGTGGACAGAGCCATTAGTGCTTTACCAGATCCACGGTAGAACATAAATTTTCCGTGACAAGCAGCATGAGGTAGAAGCACGATTATTTCAAGCAAGGTACTACTCTTTCGGTGCAAATCTAAAATAGCTTTATCAAAAGCACCGATAGATTCATTTTTGATTGAGGCGTCACATATTTATTTGACTTTTGCATACTTCACTGCAGGCTCAAATGCAAATGCATTTTTTTTTTTCAAATGCAGGCTGCAATTTTCAAAGCCAGAAAATTGTCGGTTTTCACCCACGAAAGACGCCGCGCCATTGTTTCTCGGTATGTACCGAGGTGTGAGCAGCAGCTCAATTCCTGGGTTATCGAGGGAGGGGGGGGGGGGGGCGTTAGTTACCTTGGTCGGCTCCCTGACAGTGCTAGCGTCAAGCGACCAGTGGAAGAAGGAATGGCGCCACCCACTGTGCCTTTTACATGGTCCGCGGGCCAACTGACAAAACGTGCTAAATGGCCAAAGTTCCGGTACGGTGCTCCGTGCCGATTTTTGCTTGTCACCGACTCATTATTCTCGTTGAGAACAAATTTCGCACAGTGTCGCACTGGCGACCCGTGTGACCTTGTGCGAGTGTAAAATACAAAACACGATTTGTCAACGTTGTCGGCGGGCCGCCGAAGCACCTCGGTTGTCGTCCCGGCCCGCGGCCGCCCGCTGACCGGCGCGCTGTGACCCAACCGCCGGGAAACCTTTCCACCTGTTCTCACCGACGCCGCACGCGTCTCCCGCTCGCACAATGCGCCAAATGGGATTTCACGGACGGCTGAGCACGAATGCGGCGCACTGGGGGCGAGCGCGGCGCACGCCCCGCCCGGTGTGCGTCACAATGGTCACCGTCGGCTCGCGCTGGCGGCGGTCGCGGCGCAGCGGCGGCGGTGGGTCTCTGTCGGGTCAAGGGCGGGGAGGGCGCCGGCGGCGCGGTCACGCCTGGCTGGAGGGCGCCGGGGCGCCGCGGGGCACCAGGTGGTCGGCAGGTGCCGGCGCCCTCCCCCGCCGCCGGCTCCCCTCCCCGCGGCACGCACCCTCCTCCGCTGCTCCGACGGGGAGGGGCCGCTGCCGGCTGCAGGCCGCGACACCGCCACTCCGCGGCGGCGGCGGCGGCGGCGACCCTTTGTTCGCGGCCTATGCAAATCGAGCGGTCCTTTTGCGCCACCGCTCACCATTACCCATTTACGCCTATCATCGGTTTTGTTTTTCAACCGTTCATGCCTGCTCGTCAGTCGTCACTATGTTGTGTTTTGCCGAGTTGCAGAGTTGTCCCGGGTACTGAGGAAGGGAAGGGAAGGGGTGGGGGGACTGCACATCGACCGGCGGCCCGTGTTGTCCCTGTAACCCTGGTGACCCCCCGCTGACGTCATCAGTCTGGAACGCCGCGCCGCCGACTCACTGGACACGCTAGAGTCTCCTCGCTACGGGACAAGGCCCATTGGAACCCGGACATCCAAGTCCTTGACGAATGTAGAGAGTTCCCATTTTATTTTGTTGTTGTTGCTGATTAGCCTTTACGAGGCAACTGTGCACTTACATCTCAAGTGTTCCATGAACGCTTCGGCTCCCCATTAGTTACAGTACGACGCCGGTGACCGGTAGGGGCGCTGCAGTCGCCCAGCGGCCCGAGGTCGGCGGTAACCGGTACCATGACTCAGCGGCGCCCCGCCCCGGGGTAATAACGTACTGCGCAGTTGCAGCGGTCCAGACCGGGACAAAGGCCGACGGAGGAGCCGGAGCCGCACGAGCTGCACTGCGTCCACCGGCCGGGTCAGTCGACAGAGCGGGTGGTCCAACAGTGTGTGGACGGTACTGAGCTCTGTCCACCGGAGCCGACCACGGCGGAGGCGGCGAATATCAGGTGAGCCGGGCCGACCCGTGTGTGTGTGTGGGGGGGGGGGTCTGTGTGTCCCTGTGTCTGTTGGTGAGTGTGTTTTGTGCGTCTGTGTCTATAGTCAGACAATATGTGTTTTTGTAACGGTTTGTATGTGATTCTGTGATTCTTTGTGTGTCTTCTCTGTGTGCTAGGTACCCGTCTGAGTGTTTGGATGTCTGTGCTTATATCAATTTCAACATGCATTAACCCGCGCCCCGCAAGGGGGGCCGAAACGGCCCCCTGTCCTTTTCCGTCGATATCTCCTAAACGCCTGGAGATATCGCCATTAAACTTTCAGGACCCCTCCGGGCATCAATGTTATACATTGTGACCATTTTTTCCAGAGGCTATGATAGGTTGGCCACAAATGACGTCAGAATGACGTCATGTTCTGCCATTTTCGACCGAAAAAAGACCTTCGTGAGAAGAGCTGTCAGGCCTACAGCTTTGAAGATGCAGAAAAATGATCAAAATATAAAAGGTGTAGAATGGACAGAACTACAAAACTGCTATCTCGGATTTTTAAATTTTTGAGTTTTGACCCCCAAAAATTGAAAATGCAATTTTTTGGATATTTTAGCAAAAAAAATCCAAAAGACTTTTTGATTTTCGATAAAACGGAATATATGTGATAGTACCTACCGTCTTCTATCTACATAGGGTAGGGTGGGGTAATTTGAACATATTTTTACGTCTTCTCCGTCGTACCAAATTCCAGCTCCACCCTGGATGAAGAAAAACTGTTTCAGTAGCGCAAATGTCACTTCCTTTCACCATGCAAACCTCATTTTTGGACGAGCCGAGCATACCTTGGGTAGCATAGCCTCACTTCTCCACCAAATCACGGTGTGTTCAGATTGCCCCACCGTGGGGTAATTTGAACATACTGCCTTTACGTGCCATAAAAACGATAATCTCGCCAACACCGATGTTGTTTGATGCATAAATAAATTGGCAGAACAATTCTAAACATACTTTCATTTGAAAAATCAACAAAACAACAAGCATAACACTTGCAGAGTATCAATATCTGCATGCTGCACACCGGTCAGTTGACAGAAGTCGCCTCTCTCCAGTTAACAGAACGTCTGTCATTTCCGTTCAATAAAAACTCCCAACCTTGCTTCATCTGTTATAGTGGTGCCAATCGGAACCTGGACATTAGGAGTTCTGATTTTGTCCAATGTCCAATTTGAATTGGTTGGACAAAGGTTGGACTGGACAACATTGGACGATGGCTTACTACACTTCAGCATCTTTATGAAGTAATCGTGCAAGCATTGATCGGCGAATGGAAAGCTTAGTTAAGCTCTCAATATAATGAACACTTTTCAGCTGATAAAACTACAATATAAACAATTTAAATGACAGCTTTGGATGCTGATCAATACGTAATTTTCGGACATATTTGGACACATGGCTGACTTAAATTTTTTGGACGGAAATTCAACGTAAATGCCGGACATAAGACGGAAATTAGACACAAATTTTCTGAGACTGGCATCACATAGCTGCTGCTGCTTTGTGTCGAAGATATTGGCAAAAAAACTAGGAACGTTGTTTTTTTCGGAGTTATATCTGTCTTTATTGAAATCCTCACACTATGTTCAAATTACCCCACGCTAAAAGTTATTTTGCCATATTTTAACACAGGTTTCAAAAGCCAATTTTTTGGGTTGAAAACACTTTATAGTTCATTGTACAACAAAAGCCGTTGCGTATAAAGTGCTAGCAATGTAATATTTTGCGCTGCAATAAAGTTGCAATGACGTGTTGTTAGGCGTTTTTACTTGTCGCGGAATGTTGCGGTTATGTAACGCTCTCCGTCCGGCGATTGCGGCTTCGCTCGGCGCTGTGGCAGGGTGCACTTGTATTTGAGCGCGGTTCGCGCGACCGCTCCGCGCGGCCACCGATGCGGGTGCCCGCGTACGTGAAACGACTGTGCTGTCACGTGATAGGCCGAGCCGAGGTCAGGGGCTCCCGCCGGACGGTGCGTCAGTTAGTTTTCAGTACTGACTCGGACACCACCTCCCGCCGATCTCTGACCGCCGCCCATCCGATAGCCAAGCCGATTGGTTTATGGTACCATGAAGGCTGGTATACTCTGCTTTTAAAAACCTGGGATTTCGCTCCGGGTTTTTAAGCACTCATTTATTGTATCGTTAATTTTATTATCGTATGTTTTTGTTTGCCCGCACGTTTGCATAGCCCGCATATGGTCTAAAGGCAATACAGACCTATTTTTGTATACATTCTTTCAGTTAAGGGGTATATCGAGAACAGCACACTGCACAGCCACACAGGTATCTTGTACCTTCTTGGCTGACGTTAACATACAGTCCACGTTCTCTCACACGCAGCGAGCCGCCGGCAACATTATCCGGCCCGGAGGACCAAATGTTGCCGGCGGCTCGCTGCGTGTGAGAGAACGTGAACTGTATCTTTAACGTCAGCAAAGAAGGTACAAAATACCCGTGTGTCGGTTCTCCTTGTTATACCCCTTAACGGAAAGAATGTATGCAAAATAGGTCTGTATTGCCTTTAGACCATATGCGGGCTATGCAAACGTGCGGGCAAACAAAAACATACGATAATAAAATTAACGATACAATAAATGAGTGCTTAAAAACCCGGAGCGAAATCCCAGGTTTTTAAAAGCAGAGTATACCAGCCTTCATGGTACCATAAACCAATCGGCTTGGCTATCGGATGGGCGGCGGTCAGAGATCGGCGGGAGGTGGTGTCCGAGTCAGTACTGAAAACTAACTGACGCACCGTCCGGCGGGAGCCCCTGACCTCGGCTCGGCCTATCACGTGACAGCACAGTCGTTTCACGTACGCGGGCACCCGCATCGGTGGCCGCGCGGAGCGGTCGCGCGAACCGCGCTCAAATACAAGTGCACCCTGCCACAGCGCCGAGCGAAGCCGCAATCGCCGGACGGAGAGCGTTACATAACCGCAACATTCCGCGACATTACTTGCGAAATTGATTTTTTACATTGTGAGTCAACATCTTAATTCCCTGAAAGTTTAAACCCCGTTCATATTATAGCCCTTTTAGTTACGATAATTTCCCTAATTGGTCTTATTGTCGCGTCACTTATGGATTTTCCATAATTTTGTGTTATTCATACTATGTTCAAATTGCCCCACATGTTCAAATAACCCCACCCTACCCTACCAAATTTCAGATCGATATCTCCTTTTTTGGCGAAGTTATAGCGAAAAAACTATTCAAAAATGATGACGTCAAATTCTCAAACTCAATTTTTTGGCAATTCTGGACCACGTAGGGCAAAACAAAGACCATCATTGAACTCCCCGTGACGAGCTGCATTGAATGGATACCCATTTTATGCAAAAATATCAACTTTGAAATTTGACCTAATTTGACCTGACCTTGACCCGACCTTTTCCTGGCCTTCACCGGAACATAGACTAAACTGACCCCAAAGGCTGCCTGACCCACATAATCGCATTTGTCATGTAAAATGGACCATAAAACATGTATCGCACGACACTTTCATATTGTGACCCCCAGTGACCTGACCTCTGTGACCTGACCTGGTATCAGTGACCTCAGATAGCGAAGTATGTGTTTGACGAACAACGTAACATCGATGGTTCTCACTAACTTGCCGATTTACTCGATTTCACAACACATTTCTTGAAATGCCTGTGAACGGTGAAAATCTAACCTTTGACCTGACCTGTGACGTCATCGGTTTGACCTAAGTCAATGAAATTTGGTGACAAGGTAGTTCCCCGATGGAGCTATCGAACGCCGTTTGATTTTGAAAATCGGCCGGTAAATTTCCGAGATCTTAGGGGGGCCGAAACGGAACCCCCCACTACAGGTGGTAGGGTCCGCCGGTAGCCCTACGGGGCGCGGATTAACCCTCGCCCGCACATGCCATTTTCCCATCCTAGAACGCATATGGGGGGGGGGTGGTGGTACGACCCCCCCTCGCGTTTGGCCCCTGATCGAGCTAGAGCTTCGCGGAAAAAACGAACGTGCTGCCCGTCACGAGACGAAGCCGATGATACCCAATTTTTAGGTCCTAGGTCATCGGGTGACCTACCAGGTCAGGTCAATGACCCGAAAACCGGGAAAATCGGGACCTGTTAGAAAGTCGTAAAGTGTGGCTGCTATGTGGTTTTCCGGGGTGCTGATCACGAATATCGTGTTAGTTTTGATCAGAGATAATGTCTTTAAGCATTTAGACCAGGTCGGGTCAGGTCAGGTCAACCGGTTGAGGTTGTGACGGGTATTCGTAATAGGTGTCAACCGCCTCGGACAGCTTCGTAACATGTTACGAAGGCACCAAAACTACTTCGTAAATGTTCAAATGGTTGCTAAATTCGAATTCAGCTCCAAAAACTAGCCTAAACACATGTAAAACTCGAAAAAGTGAACCGAGGTCACCCGAGATCAACAAAGGTCAATGACCTGACCTGACCTTCAGGTGACCTTGACACCCACCCTAATGCATGGGAGCAACGTCAAATCACATGTTTGAACGTGTGAAACCACGAAAAGCTTGCAAACGCGCGGCTAATGCGAGCCGACATGCGCCGAACCGCGATTTCGGCCAAACATGGTCACAGAAAAGAGGTCACAGGTCAAAGGTCATTAGGGTCAGGGTCATGAAATTTTCAGGGTAGGTGTAAAATTGATCAATGCGAGGGTACTAAAAGTTTCGTCGCGATCGGCCGCTTTTTACGTGAGATATTCGCGAAAAATATTAGGGGGGGTTGCATCAACCCCCCCCTGTGCCGGCGAGGGTTAAGCTAGATCCAATTTCTTTGCATGAGAGGACTCAGAATTGACTATGCTATCAAACTGCTATCTCGGATTTTCGACATTTTGAAACTTTCGAAAATTGTATATAATAAATTTCAAAATTTATATTTTTACATTTTTTCAATTTTTTTTTTACTTTTCGAAAAAACCGGAATATATGTGATAGAACGCATTATTGTGA